GATAAAACTAATGCCCCCATATGAAAATACCGAAACAAAACTCACTGTTTGGCTGAAACTGTAAACGAAAATAAAATCAGCAAACATACATGAACATATATTCACGCTGATCAATTGCAACCACAGAGTACCAATCAATGACCTTACGAAGACTTAATAAACACAAAATTGGATGGAACCAGATGACCATGGTCTGAACAGCAGTCAATTTTTTGCCCTGTAACTAAAAAAATGAATCAAACAATTCACATTTTATGTAACCGATCGGCAGAAGAGACGCACCGAACACATGACCTACCAAAGAAAAATAAACACAAATCCTCTGTTTCCTTGGAAAAACATAACAAAAATGTAACGATCTCATGTAACATCTTAAGGAACAATTATCATTCGTATAAAAACTGAACCTAAAAACGAAAACAACAAAAGTTAATTAATCTTCATATTAAAATTAGCAAGGAACACACTTACCGTTCGAAGGACTAATACAATTAATCATTCAAATAAATTGACCGAACAAACATCATTCAAATAATTGCCGAACAAAACATCATTCAATCAAACAATAATTGTTAAAATAGTTAGGAGATATACTTACGTTTCGCATTAAAATAGTTAGAAATATACTTACAGTTCAGAAGAACAAATCAAAATAACAACTCATCTGACAGTGTCAATCGGACATCCTGCCTTATTCATGTCATCAGAATCGTGACTGTAAACACATAAAAAAAATAAAAAAATCATTGATTTAAAAAAATATGAAAGAACAGACATATTATTGACACAAACTAAAAGACCTATAAACAAATTATAAAAGCCACACTTATGTTGACATCAACTAACAAATTGCGATGATACACAACTGAACATGCCCCCTTTTATAACCCCTTATTTAGACCTTCTGAATACCAAAACAATTAAATACGAATTGAATACGAAGAAAGTTTTCTGATGTCAATACAATGCACCTATAAATATTAGATAGCAATCCTAGACAAATGCCATTAAACCACAATTAGAAATAACAATCCAATAACCTGGTACTTGTTATTAATACATATCTTTGGAATGCCAATGCAATACGCACTATTATTATTATTACTTATTATAATATTAATACAATCCCACATTTTTAATTATTAATAAATATATATGGTCTGAGCAATAAATACCAACAACTGTCAAGATAGAGCAATTTGGGCTTATAATCCAATGTGTCAAAATAGAGAATCTGAGCTTCCAAAATGTGTCATGGTGATCAACATATATATATCAATCCAATGTGGTCAAAGAAACAATGTTAAAGCTTCCAAAGTGCCATGGTGATCAACATATATGGGTATTCAGTCAACATATATATATATATATATATATATATATATATATATATATATATATATATATATATATATATATAATATATATATATATAGAGAGAGAGAGATGAGAGAGAGAGAGAGAGAGAGAGAGATTTTATGTTTCATTAATTGACATTGCAATTGCGATACGGATTTCATGAATAAAACAAAAACTTGGAGAATAAGATTTAAACTCAATTTCTGTATTTATTATAGAAATAAATAAAATACAATAAGCAGTAGTCTACTACAATTTATACTTTTATCTCCAAAATTCATAAAGAAATAGCTTTGATGTAACATTGAAAAACTTATTTTGTTCTTATATTTATATTGGTAAATTTCAACTAATAATATAATTTTATTTTTAAAAAATAATAGATTTAGAGAGAATAAATATATTATTTTTATTTGACTTAATATCCTTTAAAGGTGTTGTACATGAGCATTCATCTAATTAGGTTAGAAATAATATTAAGAAATTCAAATTTCCATATATGTACAAGGGTTAGTAACAATATGAATTGCTAATTGTTAAAAATAAACTTTACTTTGTACAAGAAAATACAATCCAATAATGCTAAACCTTTTTTTTACAACTCAAATTAAGGGTCTGCTAGAAGTTTTTTTTTTCTTTTTATGGTTTGGTGGGGTTTTTAATTAGACTGGTTTTGAAGTGCTCTAAAATCATTACTTGCCAGATTTTTTATGCACTAGTTTTGACTGGCTCAAAAACCCCTCAGAACCAGTGTAGTGTATTTTTTAGGGGTTTATAAAATACCCAAAATCGGGGTGTTTTGGTTGGTTTTAAAATTTTATTCCACAAATACCCTGTTCACTATAAAACTATCCCAATTATATCCAATTTTTTTTTAAACATATTATGCGCGTCTCCAACCATATTAAATATAAAATAATTCTAAGCAATCATAAAAAAAAAATTATTAAAATCTCATTTCTAAATGTTTTCTTGGAAAAGTGGAGCAACAAATATTTTTCAATCATTTTAAATGTTGTAAAGAATGGCGAAGAATGATAGGGAGACTTTATCACTAAAGAATTCTTACCTTATAATTGAAAAAACAAAACTCCTAAGTATAGGTTGAAGTTTGGGTATTTTTATGGGCATATATGTAAATTTATCATTTTAGAAAATTGTCAGAACCACTGGAAAATAAACTCTCAAGCACAGGTTGGGTGTTTTAAAAACCGCTACTAAAAACCTCTCAAAACCATTATGATGGTTTACCCTCAAAACCGCTACGGTGGTTTACCCTCGTAACTGCCACTATGAAACTCTCAAGTGGACCCTAAAGGATTTACTAGGGGTAAGCGGTTCTAGGTACCTTGCATTTTTTAGGGGAACCGGAACTATAATTGCACAGTATATGTTCCCAAAAAAAGGAACCGGAATCGCACAGTGCAGGTTCTTAAATTCAAGGAACCAAAAGCTAAATGCAGGTTCCGATTCTTTTCCCGGGTACCCTGTGAAAAATCAAGTACCCCCCATTAGTTTAAAAAATGACAAAAATACCTTAAAAGTTTACATATACACCCCTAACAAATTTTGATTGTTAATTCATTTGTGTCCAATGTGACTTATAAATCCTTTAATCTCTAGACAACACTTGAATTCAATCAATTCATCACAATTCACATAAAATTCCTCAGTCAAAACCAAAACACAAACAATTAATTAAATAATCATACTATAAATCTATAATTTAATATTATAATTAATTAAATTTCTAATCATTTAATTGAGTATTGTACTAATGTTTATAATGGAATATTATAATTAATTAAGTAATCATACTATAAATCTATAATGTAATGTTATAATTAATTAAAATTTTAATCATTCAATTAAGTAATGTACTAATGTAGTAAATTACTAATATTTATAATGTAATGTTATAAATTTGTAATTAATCAAGTAATCATTTAACTATGACATGTTATAATTAATTAAGTGATTATAATATAATGTAATGTTATAATTAATTAAATAATTATTTAATTAAAATATAATGTTATAATTAATTAAATTTCTAATCATTTAATTAAGTATTGTACTAATGTTTAAATAGAATGTTATAATTAATTAAGTAATCATTTGGTTATAACGTAATATTATAATTAATTAAGTAATCATATTATAATTTGAAATGCTATAATTAATTAAATTTCTAATCATTTAATTAAGTATTGCGCTAATGTGAGAAATTATTAATGTTTATAATATAATGTCATAATTAATTAAGTAATCAATTAATTATATAATTTTATAATTAATTACGTGATCAAACTATAATGTGATGTTCTAATGAATTAAGTAATCATACTATAAATCTTTAATGTAACATTATAATTAATTAAATTTCTAATAATTTAATTAAGTATTGTACTAATATTTATAATAGAATGTTATAATTCATTAAGTAATTATTTAATTAAATAATCATTTGTTTATTACGTAATGTTATAATTAATTAAGTAATCATATTAGAAATTTATAATGTAATGTTATAATTAATTAAATTTCTAATCATTTAATTAAGTATTGTACTAATGTAGTAAATTATTAATGTTTATAATATAATGTCATAATTAATTAAGTAATAATTTAATTATATGATCATACTATAATGTAATGTTATAATGAATTGAGTAATCATACTATAAATCCTTAATATAATATTATAATTAATTAAATTTTTAATCATTTAATTAAGCATGGTTCTAATATTTATAATAGAATATTATAATTATTTAATTAAGTAATCATTTGTTTATAATGTAATGTTATAATTAATTAAGTAATTATACCATAAATCTATAATGTAACGTTGTAGTTAATTAAATTTTTAATTATTTAATTAAGTAATGTATTAAATTACTAATGTAATGTTATAAACTTATAATTAATTAAGTAATCATTCAACTATAATGTAATGATATACTTAGAATTTGATAATTGAAGTAAATAACTAAATCTTATATTATTATTCAATCAAATATACTATTATATTTAAAAATAATTCTTTTAATAACATTAAAACACTTTTAATTGGTCCGTATTTCAATTATACACTTAATTAATCAAAACTTTAATATTAATATATTAAAGTTTTTTATATGGTGTAGTTTATATCTAATAAGTATAATTGTATATTTATTTAATTCGGTTATTATAAAAATTTAAATTTTTTCATTTTAAAGTTTTTGTTTGTAAAATAATAATAGACCCCTATTTTTCACAGTTATTTATTTCAGCCCAAGTTCCAAAACAGGGTACCCGCTGTAGGTTCCAAGCTAGGTACCCGCTACAGATTCGTTTTTTACAGTTTTTGGTTCCAATTCCGGTTCCTCCACATATAGGAACCGGAACTAGAATTGCACAGTATCAATTCTAAAAAAATAGAATTGGAATCTACCCGCACAGTGTCGATTTCAGGTAGGTTTTGGTTCTGATTTCGATTCCGATTCTGATTCTAATTCTAGTTTCGGTTCTACTCACAAGTTTTGATTCTACTAGTACCCGTGCTCACCCCATTTACATTACACTTGGAAATAAATATATTTTATTTATCAATTTTAAATATATTAATATATACTAAAAATTGACCGAAACTTTATCCACTGAAGTTCCCAACTCAAAATGAGAGCAAACAAAGATAAAAAAACAAGAACAGCAACGACAATGCGACCGTCGTCTCCGCCGAGAAGACGGACCCAAACCACCTCCACCACCACACCCTCTGCCTCTGTTCTGGATAGTGAACTCCTGACTGCGGAAGAAACTACAACTTTCTTTAGAAACCTTCAAATTTCATCTCCAGATTCGAGCGCAAATCCTAGGAGTTTCCCGTACAGCGTGAAGCAACAGTGCTGGGAAAAGGCGGAGAAGGTCAGAGGACGAGACCCAGATCGCTGGCGGAGAGACGCTCTCGGTAACATTGTTTTTAGAAAGCTTGTGGGCTGTCCCGGTTGTTTGTGCCATGATTACGATCATATTTTGCCTTACTCCAAGGTACTTTTTATATATTTTTTTCAAGAAGATTTTCTCTTAATGTAGGTATTGCTGGTTTGATTTTTGTGAAGAGGGTTGCTTAAATTTTGATTAAACAAAATGAGGCGCCTTTCTGTTGTCTCTTATTATTCTTATTTAAGTTCACTCTAGATGTTAAAAGAATTTGAAGATATTGTTTTGGGGTGTTTGATTAGTTTTAGAAATATATGAGCTGAGCTACTTTGAATGTGTATTAAGAGTAAAAAGAAGAGGAAACTAAAAATGTGGAGATATATGTCAATTTAGATGGTGGATTCCCGGGTGTAGGTTAGTGTGTATATTAAAAATCTGTCCTTTAGCTAAAATAGAATTCAATTTCTTTATGTTTGGAAGTTACATTATACTGTTTATTATTTTATTGCTCATACCAATTATATAAGGGAGAAAACTTTTTTCTTTTCTTATAATCAATGCAAATTATTTACAAATGACAAACAATTTTCAATGCATAATCTAAATTTATTTTTGTCGCCTCCTTTAGATCACACATTAAGACCAGTCGTGCAAATAGTCACATTCCATTCCTCTGCCAATCATGCTACTTAGATTGGAGGATGAAATAAGAGGATAAGGCATAATTAGGGAATGCATCCTGCTTTCAACTGTGAGAGGATTAATTTTTTTCCCTCAATTGTGTATGTTTGCTATTTGGTTCGGCTGGATGATGTCTTCAGGTTCTCTCTTTCTATAGTGAAGATTTTAGTTTGAGGAATGATTCCTGTGAGACTCAAGTGATAATACTGGTTAGAGGCACAATGTGACTATCATTTTTTTCAGAATTAGACGGACTAGTAGATAGGAGAAAGTCTAGCTTGGGCTGCATGAGATGGGGGATGAGTTGAAGTGCTAATCTGTTGGTGAGAAGTGTGGTAGATGATTAGATTGAAAGGGACTCAGTAATACTAATAATACTATGCATTACAATAGTGATATTGAGAGTAAATAGGAATTTGGATTATGGCTCCTAATAACTGGCTGTTTCAGTTCAAATAATAACTCAAGCTTGCAAAATAATTTGGACTGCAAGTGAAAACTAATGCTTGCAAAATGATTTGGAGGGCAAGTGTTAACTAATGCTTACAAAATGGTATGGTATGCTAGGACTTTTGTACCCCCTTGAATGCCAGTTTTGGTTAATCATTTTTATAGTCATTTTCTTATAAAACAAATTCGTTGCAGATTTCATGCCTGCATATTTTTGTGCCTTTTGACCTAAATTCACTGCATTCGCACCCTCTCCAAGGGTGGTGTTAGAAGATGCATTTGGTTAGAGATCAATTCATTCTTAAATAATCCAAGGGTTTGTACTCTCATTGGTAGAAACATTCTAGGGTTAGGATGACTGTTTATTTGATGGTACTTATGTGCTCTAATTGTTGATGATAATTAATTCATCAATCTTGAGATGGTTTCTATCCAAAGAGGGGAAGAAAAAGTTAAATGCTGTAATATACATGAAGATATGAGAAGGAATGAGTGACAAAAGCCTTGACATGGAGTTTTGGGTGGACGGAAGGATTGAGATAGAATATATCTGAAGTTAAGAATTGATTTGTTTTTTCTGTTACCAGACCATGATTGATTTATTCATAAATTAAGCCTTTTTCTGTCATCCGTTGGGCCTGAGTAATTGCTTGAATCAAATTGTTCATGTATGTAGAACCTATTTTAACACGTTGCCAATTCTTAGTTCGGCTGATCATGTTGATGTGCAATTGTTTTGGTTTTTGGGAAACTTTAAGCTAAAGAACCATTTTCCTTTAAGGAATGGATCAAAGGAACTGAATTTAAATTTTTTAATTTCTTTTTGGGCAGGTATAGATATGCTCTCTTAACTATACTTTTTACGTTTTTTGTATCTTGAATTCACTTGGATTGTCTGATCGATTGAACATCTGTCTTCGCAGGATTGTTATAGATGCCTGTTTTCTCTTTTAGCAAATTCAATCCTTGACATTTGCTATTTATAGCTTTAGTCTTAAATCTTGTAAATAATTTGCTCCACCTTTCTAACCTATAAATTTGGAGTCTTTATTTTTGTTGTGGTTGCAATAAATGTATAATCTCTAATTTTTTTTTTTTCCGAAACTGCTACTGGAGACCTGATTTTACTAATAATATTTCAGGGGGGGAAAAGCACGCTGGAAAATTGTCAGGTTTTACAAGTATGAACTTTTTTTTCTTTTTGTTGTCAATAATTATGACACTTAAGGTTGTACTTTTATAACATTTCTTGAGCATCTGATGCAGATAATATATTATTTCAATTCTTTAGGAAAAAGGATTTTATTATTTTCCACCTCTTTCCTTATATTTAGGTTTTGTTGTTTAAATTTTCTTATTTTGTTATAGTATTCCTAATTAGATTCAATTTCTTGTTTTAGGAGTTTTCCATATTAGAATAAGGTTTGTTTCAATTAATAGGATTATTCTTTTTCTAGTTAGTTAAGGATAATTCTAGTATAAATAGGATAACAGTAGTCAGTTTGTGTACTGTATCTTTTCTTTAATTCAGAATTTTAATTCTAAGGTTTTCTTTATTGTATCTTTTCTTTAACTCAAAATTTTAATTCTAAGGTTTTCTTTAGCTATGTTCTATTGTTCCAACCACAAACACCCTATTCTAGCCCTAATTCTTGAGATCTAACCGCCCTACAACGCTTTTGCTACGTCAAGTGGTATCAAAGCACAAAAAATCCTAAATTACTCTAGGATTTTTTTTGTTTCTAAACTATGGTTGGTAGAGGCAGAGATCGAGGTAGAGGTAATCAATCTCAACAAACTGAGTTGGCTAAGATGCAGAGGATGATTGAGGACTTGATGTAGGCTGTACAAGCCTTGCAACGTCGGGAACCTATGGAAGCCCGAATGGAGAATCCGGAAGGTGACCACAAACAACTCGAGATATCAGAAGATCTTGAGACTAAAGAAGAGTATTAGATGTTGTTGATGATGAAATTGAGGTTAGCGACAATGATCACTTCAATGATTATTTTAATGATCATGATGAACCGCCACAATTTGATGATGAAATCTTTGAAGAAGAATCAATTCCTGAAGAAGAAAATTGCTTTGAAGTACGCATGGATGATTTTGAAAGAAATTCTTTTGTCATCAATTTTTGTGAAGACGTGCATGAGCACTCCTACAAGATAAAGTTGAAGGAGATTTTGCTTCAAACAATTGTTGACAAAATAAAGTTGAGATGATTGACTACTGTTGTCCTATTTATACTAGATTGATTTTTCAATTCCAACTGTTTGAAGCAAAATCTCCTTCAACTTTATCTTGTTTGAGTGATCATGCATGACTTCACAAAAATTGATGACAAAAGAATTTCTTTCAAAATCATTCATGTGTACTTCAAAGCAATTTTTTTCTTCAGGAATTGATTTTTCTTCAGGCATTGATTCTTCTTCAAAGATTTCATCATCAAATTGTGGTAGTTCATCATGATCATCAAAATAATCATTGAAGTGATCATTGTCGCTAACCTTAATTTCATCATCAACAACATCTTATATCCCCCTTCAGTCTCAAGATCTTCTGAAATCTCGAGTTGTTCATGGTCGTCTTCCGGATTCTTCATTCGGGCTTCCACAGGTTCCTGACGTTNACCATTTTCTCCAGCTCTGCAAGGAACTGGAATTTCTTGTTCTTCAAAACTATGAACACCATTTCGTGTACCATTCAATACCTTTTTCTCTGCAAGATTCAATACAGAAGCCATGGAATCACAAATTGGCGCGTCTAGGCCAAAGCTGAGGACTCTGCCATTGCTTTTAAAATTAGGGTGGTGTATTCCATTTGGAGCATCAATACGGGCTGCTTGAAGTGCTTCAGAAATGGTGATGTGACGATACTGTGAGGCAGAGTTCTTGTTCTTGCGACGCCCAGCTCCCACTGGCACATTTCTCATGGTACCGCCTGCAGTCCAGTATCGTTGGCAAGCTTTGCAGAAATGGCGAGGTTGATTAATATTGTAATTGTTGTAATAGCAGAATTTGGTGTCCATACTATTGCATCGAGGGCATGGAAGAATTTTATCTGGCTTCTTGAGGGTCTTCTCTTGTGAATTGGAAGCGTCATTCTGAACTTTCTCAGTCCTGGAAGACTTTGATTTCGCAGTTTCTTCATCTATGGAAGGTGTTTTGGGGTTTACATTACTGTCCGGTAATACTTCAGGATCCGTTGATTCATCTACACTTGGAGGTGGAGTCCCATCTGGTTGTGTGGTCTCAGTGGCTTTCCCTCCTGAAGAATCCTGGAGTTTAACATAGTTTGTTTTCCATTAGTAATTTAGGTTAATTGGCATGATATGAACAGCAAAGAACAAGTCCAAAAAAAGATGCATTACAAAATTCTGAATTCTTTTTCAATCTTTTTCTGTACTTTGTAAAGATATAGACATTTTATTGACACTTCCAATGCTATAATTCAATTTGGAAACACCACAGAAGTTATGACACAATCAAGGCTATGCTTAAATTAACAGAGTTTCTAGAAAATTAGACTATGATCAGAAATATTAACAAAATCTTGAATCAAGAGGAGTGAGAGAGAAAGAATTAACATTTTCTGATAAGCTAATAGTGTAGAGATGAAAGGAATCTATCCCTCAAAGCTAAAGGACCTTTCAAGGTAAGAAGAGTGGAAAATCTTGATTGGCTAACAAGCATAAAACTCAAAAAGTTTTTTTTTCCTCTCACAACTCCGACGTGGTAGCTTGCAATTGATCAACTCGTAATAGGTTACGATTGAGTCTCCTGATAATTACTAACAATGCGAACTATCATGTTAAGTTGTGAGAGGAATTTTGTGAGAAAGAGTTGTAGTGTAGTATTACTTATTAATTAATGATCCTCCTTGATTAATTATAGGAAGAGATAATATTCTAAGAATAAGATGAATTGTCCATTCATTTTTCCTCTGATATTTATTTATATTGTGAAGATCAGGGGTAAACATAGGGATGGCATTTGCCTGGCCTCGCGGAGATCCAGCTTGACCCGCCCAAATGGGGCGGGAATCCCCAGAAAATCGAGGATAGGGTCGGGACATCCTAAAAAAATCCCTGCCCAGGCAATTCGGGGGAGGGGATTGTGCATTCCCTGCCTTGGCCTATCAACTTGCCCCGTGGAGCCCCGCTTACTCTTTTATAATTCGAGTTATATATAAATTAAGAGTTTAAACATGTTTTAAGTATGAATCTAAATTTATGATATTTACTTTTAAATACTTTCTAATATTTGTATTAAATTTATAGAAAAAATAATTTAAACGGAGAGTCTAATAATTAAATATATGTATTATTACTTGTGCATTCTACAAATAATAATACTGACCCAAAATAATTTGATTAGATTATTACAACTTACCAAACCAATATAAATATACACAATTGCTTAAGACTTACAAATTACACAAATTCATTTATTCCTGTAATTAATTAATCTCTATAAAATATGATGTTAACTTAATCAATGTTGGGAACTTGATATGGAATTTGTCCCTTTCACAATGGACTAATTTTATTAGTTGTAGTGAGATAGTGTTTTATAATTAATTCATTAATTTACTAGCAAATTATGTTAAGGTTAATTTATTTATTAATTTTGTGAAAATAATTAATTAACAGGACTACCTAAGTCTAAGTCTCCATACAATTGAATAATTAATCAATTTACCTAATAAATTATGTTAAGATTAGATATAGATATATTTAATTATGTTGGGGGGGGAGATCCCAGCGTGGCGAATTTCTCCGCAAAAGCTCTGTTCATCGGCCCGAGGATGAGAGTGATTCTACCCCCACGGGTTGGGACGGTCATGAGACTTGTCCCTGCCAGCGTGACAGGTTGGGGACGTCATGGGGAGTATCGGGGACGAGGATTGGATTCCCAGCCCGTGCCCATCCCTAGGTAAAACCAAGAATCGAATTCTAGAATGGTCGACTATAAATATAAAAGCATTTTAATATTAAAATTATTCCTTTTCTTTTAGTAATTTTGATATGAAATAACTTAATTGTTTTTAATTTAATCTAAAGCTTAATTTTATATATCTAAAAGAATATAAGAATAAAATTTTATTAAATTTACCATACTTTAGAAGTTAGCCTATTGTAATTAAATTAATATCCCATAGTTATTTATTTATTAGATATCGGTTATTTTTAGAGGCATGGTGTCCATCCTATGTAGAGTCGCTTATACAAAATTGTCATAATAATCATGAATTCAAGACGTAATAATAATTTTTTATGACTATATATTGATATTTGTAAATAAATATATAAATCTCTCATCTCCCATCATTAACCATTAATACACTTCCTCTTTTTGTTGAAGAAAAAAAAAGCTTTTTTGTTTTAGATTATGAAAAACATTACATTTCTTTTGGTCATCGTCTTTCTTTCTTGTTGCCATACAGGTGCCTCACTCTCACCCTACATTTCTTAAATAAATTGACTCTTTACTTACCATTTGGGGTTTTCCTTTTTTGACTTTATTCTCCCTGTTTTTACTTCACCAATCATCTCAATTCAACACTAATTAAGTGACATGTTTCATAACTTTAAAACACAAAAGGCTCAATTCATGTTTATTATTTCAGATATCTGTAGAGATTTTTATTATTCAAGTGATATCTTAAGAATAGTTAAAAGCAAATTTAAGTTTTGGGTTTTCAAAAGCATATTCTACATAAGTATTTTGAAAGTTATGTTGAAATAGTATAGAACAGAAGAGACTGCTTGAAATCTCCACTCTCATATTTTGGTGTTTTAAGTTGGAGCAACATGAAAAGCACTATACAGTATACTCTATCAAAATGGATAATTATTTTATTAATTATTTATAGTGGAGGTTGACTATGAGCCCAATGATTTCACTGTTACTTTCCTCAACAAAGTCAACATGGATAAGTGCCATTTTTTTTTTTCCTAGAAGTGCTTCTAAGCCAAACAAACTACTTATTTTATATATCCAGATAGTGGAATTACATAGGTCAATAGCTGACTAAACTCACTAATTATTTATTTATACACCAAATCTTTACTCCCATCTTCAATCTATGCATTCTCAGCCACTGGAAAGTAATCAGTCAATCTCTTTCATATTACACTAATGGTGAGACTTTTGCCAGATGAAATAACCACTTTGTTGCTTTCTGAACTCTTCGAGGTCAAAATGAAATTCACTAACTGAAAATTAGGTCACAATGTGACCAAACAGGTCTTTATGGATTTCCCCAACCAAAGGAGTACATTTGGCAGATTTGTTAGGTTCCCTTGGAATTTGCATGTTTGTGTAGTTTTCTAGTCCTAACCTGAAAAGGGTTGGCTTCAGGAAAGTGATGTGCAATGAATAGATGAAAAAAAATCACTTTCCGAATTCATTATTTTGCAAAATGGTATTATAATGTTTTTAATTTTCAAGAGGGCCCCTTTTACACCAATCAGGATAGAGAGTTGTGGCGAGGAAGATGGGAAGGATAGCTTTGGCAGGTATATTCGACAAGTGCAGGTTGCAATCAAACCCCTGTTTGCAGATATGGAAGTTAAAAATTGTGAAATTATGTGGCCAAATGAATGGTAGAATTTGATGATACATACAAATCCTGAACAAACTTTGATAAATGTTTTTAGGTTTTAAACATATCTAAATTAACAAGTGCTTTCCATCAAAAAGAAAGAGCAAAAAGGAAAGAATCAGAAACAAGAGTAACACCAAAAGGGCTCATGGCAGTATTCAAATTTGGGGTCCCTAACAGCATCTTCTACATAAAATGTGGACTATATTTGCTGGAGAAAGAAAATATCTGAAATGTTTTTTGCTTCTGGATGGACCATCCACACACTTAATCTCACTTGTATGTATCTATTATGCTTTATAAGAAACTTTGGTGGATTCATCTCTTAAAAGTTCCAACCATATATCTTTTCAATACTCTTTCCGTTTTTCAGCCACTGCTTAAGAGGAGTTAGTTAGTCTCCTACAACACTTTAATTTCTGAATCTCCCAAATTTAGTGTTATTAGATAAATAGACATTTATTTAGTAAAATCAATAATTAAAGAAAGAGAGGGAAGGAACACCGGAATATATGGAACACTTTTCACTGAATTACATTCTTTTTCCTTTATATTTTTTTGCAAGTTGTGTAGATTCCATGAGCCTGAAAAGAAAGCTACTTGACCTTTTTTTATGAATTATACTGAAGATTATATTCACAGAAGGACTAGAAAATTTCAATTTTTATAGGAACTGTCTCATATTTACTTAACCCCACAATAGTCAAGTTATTATGCGTAGTTGTCAAATAACCTCTTCTGCCTGGCATCCCCAATCATACCATTTGCTCTTTTGCATCCTTTTACAGTACAAATCTTCTTCGGTTATGAATTTTTCTTGCTTTTGCAACTGTGTCTCTTTTAAGTTTTAGCAGATACACGGTACAGAGAAAATAGGGAAGTGACCCATTTTCAAAGTTTATAATTAATTATTAGCTCAGTGCGGTGCCTCAGATTATGGTGTGTAAAAGATTTTTTCTGCAACTCTAATACTGTATTCCACAGATACGAAATAAGATATGTACATAAACACAACTCAGCAAACTAAGTACATCAAAAGGCACCTGTGCATATTGTTACAAGAAGACTATTAGTTCCCCCTAGAGCTTCTCTCTATCCAGTGAAAACCAGATATCCCTCTCTGCTCTTCGTTTTTGTCAATTAGCTTGTATGCGATGACTGATGAGACTAGTAATCAAAATGATACATAAAGGATCACAGTAAGAGATTCAAAGTCACTCTAACAGTTGAATTCGCCTAAAATAAGAAGCCTGTTTCAAGACCTTTCATGGAAGTTTAATGATCTAGCCAAGGCTGCAGGATTTGCCCGCAATACTGGGAGTTTCAGCCATGTGACTTTTTCATCACTCTTTGGTTGCAAGCCCTTGATAGCCCCCACCAGTGATGGATTCATTTTTAATTCCAAGCGTTACCCATATTGAACTCTTTGCAGCTTCACTTGGATCATCAACTCTTAATGTTTTTGGAACCATAAACATCCGTTCTTCTGTTTTGATGGTTCCTCTTGCTCCATACATCTGGTTTATGCATGTCTGACTCCCTTGAATGCTTTCCCCAAAGTGGGGGAATTAGGACTACAGCTTGGAGCTTTCTGGTTTGAAGAAGATTGGGGTGACAACCAAGGAATGTTCCAAGTCCCCAGGACCCCACAGTTCCAAAATGGCGCTGGATAGAATGACATAGATATCCTGAAGGACAAAAGGCAGGTGGGGGCACTGCTGCTTCCATGGATAGGCCAAGGAACACCAGGAAGACATGGAATCGGAGAAGGGACCATTAACATTCCGTGTTAAGGGTTCCTGCACGCAATTTCTGATTCCTTCCTCCACTGGATTTGAACAGTGATAAGGAACCGCTTGAGCATCAATCACTGACCAGAGGATCTCCTATTAGCAAGGATTTGGGTCTGTTTTCCAGCATCAGTAGTTAGCAATTGAAATAAAATGTCAATGTTCTGTTACAATTAAATATTATTACGATTATGTGTAATTTATTTAAATAAAATTAGAATTTGAACTGTTGAATGGTTGTAAGCCACTAAATTTTTAAAAAAAAAGATTTTTGAGTTAACTTTTGTCACAATGAGTGCAGGCAACAGTTAATAGATCAAAGGGAAATCGAACTGAATTATCCAGAGCTGAGCTGATTCAAAAAAGTTCTTATTGCCGGGTTGCAGGTAATTCCAAATCTTATAAGTTATTGCGTGACGTCCTCATACAAAATAATCGAACTCAATTTATAACTTGTCAATTATTGGTTTGATGGTTCAGGTCGTGACATGGATCTTATTGAACTGTCAGCCTATGGCAATGTTCGTCGTGGACAAGACACGGGAGGTTGTAGAATTCAATGACAAATTTCAGCTGTAGTAACTTCTTTTAAATAGATTTAAGATGGAATTAGGAAATTAAGGAATTTTTGTGTATTCAATTGATTATAATTGTGTGCGCACAACTTCTACATCAAATTATAGCAAACGTAGATCTGTTACTTTCTGAGGCTTAGTGAGTGATCTCTCCGATCTTCTCACCATTATTGGTTGTTAATTTTCTTTTCTGAAGGAAAGGCAAGTGATCATAAAACTTCCCACCAGTAAACTATGGACTGCACGCATTCTAGATAGAACGAGTTAAATTATATTACATTAGTTGATTTAAACAATGTTTTAACACCCAACTTGGAGTGAAATTCGGCAAAGTGGTCGGGTCTGGGTTGACCAGTTTAACCGGTTTGACCCACTGGTTAAACAAATGTCCAAAGGTTTGAAATCTAACAAAAATACCCTTAAAAGTTCCTATAAGTCCTTATAAGTTTGGAATCTTGTAAAAACATCCCAAACACCATCGTCAGTGTTGGCAAATAGGGTCGGTTTCCAGTGACGACAACACTCTTCATCACCAAGAAAACACTCCCTTTAGTCTCTTAACCAAAATTCACATCACCCCTCCCCCATTCGCTAGCAACAGCGGACTTCTTCTAGAGGCTTAGTTTTGTGATTTCCAGTTGATTCACTCACTATAAATCACCTCCGTCGTCATCCTTCCACTCACCAACCATTCATCTTCAAAAGCTCCAACATCCCCATCTTCAATTGTTCATGAATTGATGTCCCAATTTCTAAGGTTTTGAATGAATAAGAAAATTTGTAATATGAACTAGTGAAGGCCTTGGGTCTAGGTTGAACTAGTTCAACCGACCAGGCCCGACCGAGTTTTGAAACATTGGATTTAAACAAATATTCTTGAATATGATACTTATTTATTAGTATTAGTAATATGTTTTAAGGATGTTTGTATTTGGTTTATTCTGTTTCCCTTGTTGATTTGGTTTTCCTATTTAAGTTGTATTGATACACTGCCATATAAACGTATATGTTCATTAGTATCAAATATGTTGTGCCTATGCAGCAGTTCTCATGCTCAACAAGATCTAATCTTTCTTGATTCACAAGTAAGCGCTTCTTTTAAGTAAGCTTTTGAAGAATCTAAGGCAAGTCCATTACAGTCTTACATTCCCTTAGGAAGAACTGGAGAATGATATAGAAGACAACTGGAAGAACTGATGATGATATAAAAAATAAAGAACCATGGCACTTCTTTTGCCTTGCCCCTTGATCTTGTGCCTTTGTCCACTCCTTTTGCTAAACCTCTTCATAATATTCATACTGATTCTTGTTGGCTTGGATTGCATGTACTTTTACTTCAATCACTTGCAAGTTTAATGCTTAGTTCCGTAATTATAAACGCCTATTTATATCCGGGGACGGACTCACATGCTCATAAGTAGGGGCTGGTGAACCCACTCAATTTTTGTTTTTTTCCTTAGATTATATTTGTATTAATGTTTTTATATATGACCCTACTCATCAACTTTTCTTCTATTTTACAATATATTATTTTGAATTTATCTCCTTTAAAATTAATTCTTGGGTCCGTCCATGTTTGTATCCTTATTAGAGTAATTGAGATCCTTTTGTGGTGTCTACATGATTCTCTTGGCGACATTCAAATTCTTGCTTGGCGGATTTGATCTGGAGTTTCCTTGTTCGCTAAATGCATATGACATTGCAATGCAAGCTCCAGAATGTGAAAGAACCATCCATCTTGGGTTATATTGAACTGTTGTTACATTGCCATGGATGCTGCTAGTTTGGATTTGCCTATTGACAGAGCGATGTTGAAATTTTGATTTGATTAGGAATGATTGACCATATCCATGGTACCAAAATCTATGGGATGAGTCTGAGCCTGTATGCAAAATATGTTTGTTTTAGTAAGAATCGTCCTTTGATTATGATTCTAGAATGGGGTATAATTAAGAAAAATATTACACTTACAACCTCTTTTCACAAATTTCTTCTCACAACTCTGACGTGACAGCTTGCAATTGATCAACTCGTAATAGGTCACGATTGAGTCTTATCTGATAAATTACAAATAACCAATTGCGAACTATCATGTTAAAGTTGTGAGAGGAAGTTTGTGAGAAGAGGTTGTAGGTGTAGTATTACTTATTAATTAATGATCCTCTCTTGATTATAGTTATAGGAAGAGATAATATTCTAAGAATAAGATGAATTGTCTAATTCATTTTTCCTCTGATATTTATTTATTATTGTGAAGATCAGGGGTAAAACTAGGGATGGGCATTTGCCTTGGCCTCGCGGAGATCCAGCTTGACTCGACCCAAATGGGGCGAGGAATCCCCAGAAATATCGAGGATAGGGTCGGGGACGATCCTAAAAAAATCCCTGCTCTCAGGGACAATTCGGGGGAGGGGATTGTGCATTCCCTGCCTTGGCCTATCAACCTTGCCCCCGTGGAGCCCCGCTTACTTTTATAATTACGAGATTGTATATAAAATTAGAGTTTAAAACATAGTTTTAAGTAATGAATCTAAATTTATGATATTTACTTTTATAATACTTTCTAATATTTGTATTAAATTTATAGAAAAAATAATTTAAACGAGAGAGTCTAATAATTAAATATATGTATTATTACTTTGTGCATTTCATAAAATAATAATACGTGACCCAAAAATAATTTGATTAGATTATTACAACTTACCAAACCAATATAAGAATATACACAATTGCTTAACGACTTACAAATTACACAAATTCAATTATTCCTGTAATTAATTAATCGGTCTATTAAATATGATGTTAAACTTAATCAATGTTGGGAACTTAGATAATGGAATTTGTCCCTTTCACAGATGGACTAATTTTATTAGTTGTAGTAGAGATAGTGTTTTATGAATTAATTCATTAATTTACTAGCAAATTATGTTAAGGTTGAATTTAATTATATTAATTTTGTGAAAAATTAATTAATTAACAGGACTAACTAAGTCTAAGTCTCCATACAATTGAATAATTAATCAATTTACCTAATAAATTATGTTAAGATTAGATATAGATATATTTAATTATGTTGGGGGGGGAGATCCCAGCGTGGCGAATTTCTCCGCAAAGCTCTGTTCATCGGCCCGAGGATGAGAGTGATTCTACCCCCACGGGTTGAGGACGGTCATGAGACTTGTCCCTGCCAGCGTGGACAGGTTGGGGACGATCATGGGAGTAGATATCGGGGACGAGGAATAGGGATTCCCAGCCCGTGCCCATCCCTAGGTAAAACCAAGAATCGAATTCTAGAATGGTCGACTATAAATAATAAAAAGCATTTTAATATTAAAATTATTCCTTTTTCTTTTAGTAATTTTGATATGAAATAAAGCTTAATTGTTTTTAATTTAATCTAAAGCTTGAATTTTATATATACTAAAAGAATATAGAGAATAAAATTTTATTAAATTATACCATACTTTAGAAGTTAGCCTATTGTAATTAAATTAATATCCCATAGTTATTATATTTATTAGATATCGGTTATTTTTAGAGGCACTGGTGTCCATCCTATTGAGAGTCGCTTATACAAAATTCTGGTCATAATAATCATGAATTCAAGACGTAATAATAATTATTTTTATGACTATATAATTGATATTTGTAAATAAATATATAAATCTCATCAGTCCCCATCATTAACCATTAAATACACTTCCATCTTTTTGTTGGAAGAAAAAGAAAAAGCTTTTTTGTTTTAGATTATGAAAAACATATACATTTTCTTTTTGGTCATCGTCTTTCTTTGTTGCCATACAGGTGTCTCACTCTCACCCATACATTTCTTAAATAAAAGTGACTCCTTGCTTAACATTTGGGGTTTTCCTTTTTTGACTTTTATTGCTCCCTGTTTTTACTTACACCAATCATCTCAATTCAACACTAAATTAAGTGACATTGTTTCATAACTTTAAAACATCAAAAGGGTCAATTCATGTTTATTATTTCAGATATCTGTAGAGATTTTTATTATTCAAGTGATATCTTNAATTATGTTGGGGGGGGAGATCCCAGCGTGGCGAATTTCTCCGCAAAGCTCTGTTCATCGGCCCGAGGATGAGAGTGATTCTACCCCCACGGGTTGAGGACGGTCATGAGACTTGTCCCTGCCAGCGTGGACAGGTTGGGGACGATCATGGGAGTAGATATCGGGGACGAGGAATAGGGATTCCCAGCCCGTGCCCATCCCTAGGTAAAACCAAGAATCGAAATCTAGAATGGTCGATTATAAATAATAAAAAGCATTTTAATATTAAAATTATTCCTTTTTCTTTTAGTAATTTTGATATGAAATAAAACTTAATTGTTTTTAATTTAATCTAAAGCTTGAATTTTATACATACTAAAAGAATATAGAGAATAAAATTTTATAAAATTATACCATACTTTAGAAGTTAGCCTATTGTAATTAAATTAATATCCCATAGTTATTATATTTATTAGATATCGGTTATTTTTAGAGGCACTGGTGTCCATCCTATTGAGAGTCGCTTATACAAAATTCTGGTCATAATAATCATGAATTCAAGACGTAATAATAATTATTTTTATGACTATATAATTGATATTTGTAAATAAATATATAAATCTCATCAGTCCCCATCATTAACCATTAAATACACTTCCATCTTTTTGTTGGAAGAAAAAGAAAAAGCTTTTTTGTTTTAGATTATGAAAAACATATACATTTTCTTTTTGGTCATCGTCTTTCTTTGTTGCCATACAGGTGTCTCACTCTCACCCATACATTTCTTAAATAAAAGTGACTCTTTACTTAACATTTGGGGTTTTCCTTTTTTGACTTTTATTGCTCCCTGTTTTTACTTACACCAATCATCTCAATTCAACACTAAATTAAGTGACATTGTTTCATAACTTTAAAACATCAAAAGGCTCAATTCATGTTTATTATTTCAGATATCTGTAGAGATTTTTATTATTCAAGTGATATCTTAAGAATAGTTAAAAGCAAATTTAAGTTTTGGGTTTTCAAAAGCATATTCTACATAAGTATTTTGAAAGTTATTGTTGGAATAGTATAGAACAGAAGAGACTGCTTGAAATCTCCACTTCATAATTTTGGTGTTTTAAGTTGGAGCAACATGAAAAGCACTATACAGTATACTCTATCAAAATGGATAATTAATTTATTCATTAATTTTATAGTGGGAGGTTGACTATGAGCCCAATGATTTCACTGTTACTTTCCTCAATAAAGTCAACATTGATAAGTGCCATTTTTTTTTTTTCCTAGAAGTGCTTCTAAGCCAAACAAAACTTACTTATTTTATTATATCCAGATAGTGGAATTACATAGGTCAAATAGCTGACTAAATTCACTATATTATTTAATTGAAAAATGTTATCCTTACAAAGACTTATACAAAAAGATTACAAAGTGAAAGAAAAAACGAAAAAAGAGAAAGAGAGAGAGAGAAATCATGAAGATCAAGGGTAGGGGTTGTCTTTGTATGCCCTCTTTGTATTTGTCTTTGTAAGATTAGTACTTCTCTATTTAATTAGACAACAAATTCTTTACTCCCATCTTCAATCTATGCTATTCTCAGCCACTGGAAAAGTAATTAGTCAATCTCTTTACATATTACACTAATGGTGAGACTTTTGCCAGATGAAATAACCCACTTTGTTGCTTTCTGAACTCTTCGAGGTCAAAATGAAATTCACTAACTGAAAATTAGGTCACAATGTGACCAAACAAGGTCTTTATGGATTTTTCCCCAACCAAAGGAGTACATTTGGCAGATTTGTTAGGTTCCCTTGGAATTTGCATGTTTGTGTTAAGTTTTCTAGTCCTAACCTGAAAAGGGTTGGCTTCAGGAAATGTGATAAGTGCAATGGAAATAAAGATTGATCACTTTTCCGAATTCATTATTTTGCAAAATGGTGATTATAATGGTTTAATTTTCAAGAGGGCCCCTTTTACACCAATCAGGATAGAGAGTTGTGGCGAGGAAGATGGGAAGGATAGCTTTTGGCAGGTATATTCGACAAGTGCAGGTTGCAATCAAACCCCTGTTTGCAGATAATGGAAGTTAAAAATTATGAAATTATGTGGCCAAATGAAATGGGTAGAATTTGATGATACATACAAATCCTGAACAAACTTTGATAAATGTTTTTAGGTTTTAACATATCTGAAATTAGACAAGTGCTTTCCATCAAAAAGAAAAGAGCAAAAAGGAAAGAATCAGAAACAAGAGTGAACACCAAAAGGGCTCATGGCAGTATTCAAATTTGGGGTCCCATAACAGCTCATCTTCTACATAAAATGTGGACTATATTTGCTGGGAGAAAGAAAATATCTGAAATGTGTTTGCTTCTGGATGGACCATCCACACACATTAATCTCACTTTGATGTATCTATTAAATGCTTTATAAAGAAACTTTGGTGGATTCGTCTCTTAAAAGTTCTCATCCATATATCTTTTCAATACACACAAGTCTTTCCGTGTTTCAGCCACTACTTAAAAGAGGAGTTAGTTAGTCTCCTAACAACACTTTAAATTTTTGAATCTCCCAAATTTAGTGTTATTAGATAAATAGACATTTATTTAGTAAAATCAATGTATTAAAGAAAGAGAGGGAACAGAACACCAGGAATATATGGAACACTTACTAACTGAATTACATTCTTTTTCCTTTATATTTTTTTGCAAGTTGTGTAGATTCCATGAGCCTGAAAAGAAAGCTACTTGACCTTTTTTATGAATTATACTGAAGATTATATTCACAAGAGGACTAAAAGAAATTTCAATTTTTATAGGAACTGTCTCAATATTTACTTTAACCCCACAATAGTCATAAGTTATGGTTATGCATAGTTGTCAAATAACCTCTTCTGCCTGGCATCATCCAATCATACCGATTTGCTCTTTTGCATCCTTTTACAGTACAAATCTTCTTCTGTTATGAATTTTCTTTGCTTTTGCAACTGTGCTCTCTTTTAAGTTTTAGCAGGATACACAGTACAGAGAAAAATAGGGAAAGTGACCCATTTTCAAAGTTTATAATTAAATTATTAGCTCAGTGCGGTGCCTCAGGATTATGGTGTGTATAAAAAGATTTTTTCTGCAACTCTAATACTGTATTTCACAGATACGAAATAAGATATGTACATAAACACAAGCTTAGCAAACTAAGTACATCAAAAGGCACCTGTGCATATTGTTACAAGAAGACTATTAGTTCCCCCTAGAGCTTCTCTCTATCCCAGTGAAAACCAGATATCCCTCTCTGCTCTTTCGTTTTTGTCAATTAGCTTGTATGCGATGACTGATGAGACTAGTGAATCAAAATGATACATAAAGGATCACAGTAAGAGATTCAAAGTCACTCTAACGAGTTGAATTCGCCTAAAATAAGAAGCCTTGTTTTCAAGACCTTTCATGGAAGTTTAATGATCTAGACAAGGCTGCAGGATTTGCCCGCAATACTGGGGAAGTTTCAGCCATGTGACTTTTTTCATCACTCTTTGGTTGCAAGCCCTTGAANTTTCAATACACACAAGTCTTTCCGTGTTTCAGCCACTGCTTAAAAGAGGAGTTAGTTAGTCTCCTAACAACACTTTAAATTTCTGAATCTCCCAAATTTAGTGTTATTAGATAAATAGACATTTATTTAGTAAAATCAATATATTAAAGAAAGAGAGGGAAGAGAACACCAGGAATATATGGAACACTTTCTAACTGAATTACATTCTTTTTCCTTTATATTTTTTTGCAAGTTGTGTAGATTCCATGAGCCTGAAAAGAAAGCTACTTGACCTTTTTTTATGAATTATACTGAAGATTATATTCACAAGAGAAGGACTAAAAGAAATTTCAATTTTTATAGGAACTGTCTCAATATTTACTTTAACCCCACAATAGTCATAAGTTATGGTTATGCGTAGTTGTCAAATAACCTCTTCTGCCTGGCATCATCCAATCATACCCATTTGCTCTTTTGCATCCTTTTACAGTACAAATCTTCTTCTGTTATGAATTTTCTTTGCTTTTGCAACTGTGTTCTCTTTTAAGTTTTAGCAGGATACACGGTACAGAGAAAAATAGGGAAAGTGACCCATTTTCAAAGTTTATAATTAAATTATTAGCTCAGTGCGGTGCCTCAGGATTATGGTGTGTATAAAAAGATTTTTTCTGCAACTCTAATACTGTATTTCACAGATACGAAATAAGATATGTACATAAACACAAGCTCAGCAAACTAAGTACATCAAAAGGCACCTGTGCATATTGTTACAAGAAGACTATTAGTTCCCCCTAGAGCTTCTCTCTATCCTAGTGAAAACCAGATATCCCTCTCTGCTCTTTCGTTTTTGTCAATTAGCTTGTATGCGATGACTGATGAGACTAGTGAATCAAAATGATACATAAAGGATCACAGTAAGAGATTCAAAGTCACTCTAACGAGTTGAATTCGCCTAAAATAAGAAGCCTTGTTTTCAAGACCTTTCATGGAAGTTTAATGATCTAGACAAGGCTGCAGGATTTGCCCGCAATACTGGGGAAGTTTCAGCCATGTGACTTTTTTCATCACTCTTTGGTTGCAAGCCCTTGAATAGCCCTCCACCAGTGATGGATTCATTTTTAATTCCAAGCGTTACCCATATTGAACTCTTTGCAGCTTCACTTGGATCATCAACTCTTAATGTTTTTGGAACCAATAAACATCCGTTCTTCTGTTTTGATGGTTCCTCTTGTTCCATATCATCTGGTTTATGCATGTCTGACTCCCTTGAATGCTTTCCCAAAGTTGGGGAATTAGGACTAGAGCTTGGAGCTTTCTGGTTTGAAGAAGATTGGGGGGACAACCAAGGAATGTTCCAAGTCCCCAGGACCCCACAGTTCCAAAATGGCGCTGGATAGAATGGCATAGGATATCCTGAAGGACAAAAGGCAGGTGGGGGCACTGCTGCATTCCATGGATAAGGCCAAGGAACACCAGGAAGACATGGAATCGGAGAAGGGAAGCCATTAACATTCCGTGTTAAGGGTTCCTGCACGCAATTTCTGATTCCTTCCTCCACTGGATTTGAGACAGTGATAGAGGAACCGCTTGAGCAATCATCACCATTTTCTCCAGCTCTGCAAGGAACTGGAATTTCTTGTTCTTCAAAACTATGAACACCATTTCGTGTACCATTCAATACCTTTTTCTCTGCAAGATTCAATACAGAAGCCATGGAATCACAAATTGGCACGTCTAGGCCAAAGCTGAGGACTCTGCCATTGCTTTTAAAATTAGGGTGGTGTATTCCATTTGGAGCATCAATACGGGCTGCTTGAAGTGCTTCAGAAATGGTGATGTGACGATACTGTGAGGCAGAGTTCTTGTTCTTGCGACGCCCAGCTCCCACTGGCACATTTCTCATGGTACCGCCTGCAGTCCAGTATCGTTGGCAAGCTTTGCAGAAATGGCGAGGTTGATTAATATTGTAATTGTTGTAATAGCAGAATTTGGTGTCCATACTATTGCATCGAGGGCATGGAAGAATTTTATCTGGCTTCTTGAGGGTCTTCTCTTGTGAATTGGAAGCGTCATTCTGAACTTTCTCAGTCCTGGAAGACTTTGATTTCGCAGTTTCTTCATCTATGGAAGGTGTTTTGGGGTTTACATTACTGTCCGGTAATACTTCAGGATCCGTTGATTCATCTACACTTGGAGGTGGAGTCCCATCTGGTTGTGTGGTCTCAGTGGCTTTCCCTCCTGAAGAATCCTGGAGTTTAACATAGTTTGCTTTCCATTAGTAATTTAGGTTAATTGGCATGATATGAACAGCAAAGAACAAGTCCAAAAAAAGATGCATTACAAAATTCTGAATTCTTTTTCTGTACTTTGTAAAGATATAGACATTTAATTGACACTTCCAATGCTATAATTCAATTTGGAAACACCACAGAAGTTATGACACAATCAAGGCTATGCTTAAATTAACAGAGTTTCTAGAAAATTAGACTATGATCAGAAATATTAACAAAATCTTGAATCAAGAGGAGTGAGAGAGAAAGAATTAACATTTTCTGATAAGCTAATAGTGTAGAGATGAAAGGAATCTATCCCTCAAAGCTAAAGGACCTTTCAAGGTAAGAAGAGTGGAAAATCTTGATTGGCTAACAAGCATAAAACTCAAAAAGTTTTTTTGAGAAAGAATAAAGGAGAAAAGAATAAACAGACATTTGGCACAAACAGGACTTCAAAATCAAGCACAATTTAACCAATAGATCAACGACACTTTTATCCATAGAAACTATGATCTAGTTTAGCAAAACCTGATCAGAAAGAAAAAAAATCAAATTTTGAGAGGTGTAAATTCTGAATTTTTTTCAAACATATGAAACTTTCACTCGTTTTGAATTCATATGTTAAAAGTAAATTCTTTGAAAAATGTAAACATGACATATAACAAAACAAAACGAGATTAATTTTATAAAGAAATTCTGGAAGAGAAAACTCAATCCAAATACCAAAATTTTCTTTTCATTTCTTACCTTATTCTACTTCCAAACAACAAAACCGAACCAAAAACAGAGGAGTAAACCCTTTAGGCCAATACCAACTAAAAAAAAAAAAAAAAGTGAAAAAAAATCAACAAGAAAAAAATCCAGAATTGAAAATTTGAAAGCAAAAATTAAAATTCCAAAAGAAGTTAAAAGAACAGAAGAACTGCCAGTTTTTAGCTAGCTAATAGCTTACCATTAAAAGAAACAGAAAAGTTAAAAAGTAAAATCGACCCACGGATCCTTTTAGCATTTCAAGAAAAGGGTCGTCTTCAAATTTTCATAAAAAAGAACACAACACTCCATGAAACCCTCTCTAACTGTATGAACTGTACCTCCTCTTTTTCTCCTTCGCTGGAAAACACTTCCTTTGTCACCGGGGAGGACAAGTCCTCACAGAGGATGGGCGGATTCTCGGCATCTGCAGGCAGAGGGATTTTCTTGCCAAAGAGTTTGATGGCAGGGTCTTTACTTTCCAGCATTTTCTTGGCGACCAAACAGAGGAAACGAAAAAAAAAAAACGCGCGAGAAAATTTGCAGGTTGTTTTGTTTCTTGGGTCTTTGTTGGCATGGAACGTAGTGTGTCGTTTGCGTTATTGATCCGTTTAAACGAGGAGGTGGATGCCACGTCAGCACATTAGTGTAATTCTCAGCCACAAGTTTATGTGGCCTTGAGATTTTCTTTTCTTTCCTTCTCCAAATATTATTTGATTCTTTTTTTAATTATTATATGATATGGTTGCACAAAAAGTGAGTGCACCTGACTGTGAGTGTGAGAGTGAGTGAGTCGTCGTCAGCTTTCGGGAAGTTCATTGAATTCTAGGGCGTAGCAGAGATGAGGTGGCGTGATGTGATTGGTGAAAGGAAGGATAAAGTTTTCCTAAATGAAGGAAATGAATGGCCGGCTTGGCGCTTTTTGAAGCTTGACTGTTAAAAAAGAAACTATTTTAATTTTTCCTTTTTGTCCTTTTTCACATTTGAATGATGAACATGGGATGAATATGATGATTTATTTAAGCTTGATTTTGAATACTACAATCAAAATTCTACACGATATTTATGTATCATGATTACTCATACGTGATTGAATTGAATTTTTAAATTTTCTATAAAATAAGATCTATGTGATTAATTTTTGACATTTTATAGAGTTTAATTTTCTCATATTTGACACAATAGAGTAAACGATTTTTTTTCCCACCCGAATAATGGTCTAATGACATTTCTTACCCAAAACGTTTCAAAATATAACTTTATTATCCACATCACAAATCTATTAGTATATTATGTTATAAAGAATGACATGATAATCAAAAGTTCGTTATAAGTAAAGACAGCATAGTCAATTAACATTTTGTATCAAAAATCAAAATTTAAAATTCCACTTTGCTAAAAACAACGAATGACAAAGGAGGGTGGCCATTCACAACCGACGATCGGTTAGTAACCAAGTGTCGAGGTTTGAGCGGTTTTGAAGAACGGAGATCGGAGGTTGAAAGGGTGACTGGGACAAATGGTTAAGCAGGTGTGGTGGTGTTGTCTGGTGAGGCATAGGTTTTGGTTGGGGCAAATTGTTGAGCAACCTAGGTTTGGAAGCTATGAGGAAGGGGGGGAACAAAAAAATTCACTTCCAAACTCAACCAATTCAACATTTCTCAACACACACAGCAATCTCCTTGATAAACCAACTTCACAAATAACTGTTGGTGTCGCAAAATGCAACCATCGCACAGTGACAAGTGCGGTTTGCAGATGACAACGACGATTGGGGACACCTGGTGGGTAGATGGGTTTTGTTAAGGAGAGGGTATGGGTTCAAATGGTAATATTTGCTCCATGGGCAAGGCGGAGGTCACCAAGTCGGCCTGATTGGCTTGGTTTGTCATATGACTCACACTCGGTATGTTTCGTTAGGTCAAGTCACGTGGGGTAGTTTGGCGAACCACTCCATTGTGTGCCATTTGGTAATTTGGATCTTTATTCATTCCCTCGGGTTGGGTGGTTCCCACTGTGACTGATTGGGTGTTTTGGCCTGCATGGATGGTGAGAAGGGTTATTTGGGAGTCACTCGGTCTGTGGGGATGGATGGACTAGAACGGGGTGGATTGAAGGTGAGGGAGCCCGCTCGACCCGCGAGGGTGAGTCGAGCCGAGTGGGGTTTGGGTAGGAATGGTTGATTGGAGATGAGACGGGATGGCAAGGATGGGTGGCTCTTGTTGTGGTGGGCTTTCTATTACTTGGATGTCTTGATCTTGTGCTTGGAGTAGGTCGACCGAGAATGGCTCTATTGACAGCCCTCGCTCAATTGGATTCTGGACTGAATTGTCCACTAGCGATGAATAGAGTTGTCGCGATCTTGTATCTGAGGCGGTCAGTCTGTGATCTAGAGTTTGGAGAGGCTAAATGGACGAAACTGATGTGCAGAAACGATTAGGTTGTACCTGACAAGGTTGAAGCTCAAGGTCATAAAATTGACTCACATTTTCTTTCAGAGACTGGTTTTCTGCCCAGATGGAGGTGTTTTCGGTCTGGATGGAAGCGTTCTCGACTTCCAATGCTGCCACCTTGTCTGAGTGCTATTGTATAAGGGTAGTCAGAGCTTCAAGTCTGGCCTCGAGACCAGGATTAGTGTTATCTGAATTTTTAGCCATAGAGAGTTTTCTTGTGAAGTAGGGTTTGAAAGACGAATGATTGCCAGAGGCTCCACGGTGAGCGGTAAACTGTAAATGCAAAAAATCTACCTTTACGGAAGTAGGGTCTAGTCTCGTAAGGTTGAGGCCACTAGCAATCTGCTGTACCTGTACACGCGAGGAAACAAGCGTGAAGTGAACAGAAAACACCGGGGTGGTGTTTGCAGTATGCACTCCGACGCTCAAGCCAACAAGGCTAAATGAGGCTAATTTAGTGCAGGTTAGGGAAAGAGAAGGTTACTAGGAGTCTAGTCGAAGACTATAACTATGACAGTGATACGAGGTTCCCAAGAGTGAGAACTACGGGTTTAGAATGTGTAATGTGTCCCCTTTGTGAGAGGGTTGACCTTTGTTTATATAGCAACTACAGGATCTTCGAGTCCTAATAGGACTGTGAGTACTTGGTAAGACTCCTTCTCCTACCAAGGCAAGGAAATCAAAAGCCTTCCTATTCACTGAACAGTACCAAAATAAGAAATAGACAACCTTGGGGTCTAAATAAACCTTAGGTCCAATAAGTGATCTTGGATCAAAAGGCTTGGGGCCAAACAAGCTGATGATGAAGCCTAAACGAATTGGGGCTTTTACTGATTGGGCTCAAGCAATGAGCGACAGGGTAGATGTGGTGAGTGGACATAATGTACAAACTTTGTTGTGAGCCCAATCGGAATTGGGCCATGGTTCCGGGCTTTGTTGAAAGTGTTTTTATCTTTGGGCCTATTTTGGCCGAGAACATTTTTTGGCTCTAATAGTGATGTGAGGAGTCTGAAGAAAGTGTCAGAGGGTTACGGTGGCGCTAGAATCATGCCAGATCTAGCCTAATCCAGGAGGTGGTTGTTTTGGCCACGATGGAGGCTAAGAAGAGAAAAGAAATGAAGAGAGAAGGGTATTTTTGTCTTTATAATGAATATTATTATATTTAACAAAACATAATATTTGAATAATAAAATTGTATTTTGAAATCTTTTGGATGAAAAATTGTGAAGCTAGTATTTGGGTGAAAAAAAGTCGTTTAGTGACATAATATCATCACTGTCTCAACTAGTCTAGTCCTGTAAAGGCAGACTCTGAATAAGTTGGTTAATAAAAAACAAAAAACAAAAAATTATAAGTTTACTGGGATTTGGTAAATAAATGCATACTAATTTAATTATATAAAGTACTTTTCACTTTCCCAAGTGTCCTTTTCATACTATTACTCAAAACTTTAAACGTTGTTACCATAAATTATGACATTTAACAATAGACACTCCAAACCCAAGTAACCAATTAACTTTAATAATATCAAAACGTGTAACATGAATACTAGAATAATATTTTTTTTAAGAAAAAAATGATAAAACCTATAATTAGTATTAATTAAATAATATATTATTTAGTAGCCACTGAGGAAAAAAATATCAACATCGTTTAAAAATTTGCATGTTCTCACGTGCTAACTTTCAAATCAAGCCCCCAACATTCTCGGAAAATTAAAAATTAATTTAAATGGAGATAAGCGATTTTCTTTAAAAAAAAAAAAGAAAACATTTTTGAAATTTACCAAAAACTACATAATTTTCAGTAAAACTTTATAAAAGTAAAGGACTTATTAAAAAGGTTAAATCCACAAGTAACAAGTAATCTTCTTGTTTAAGTCTTGATATCAAATAATATTAATTACTTACATTTGCCACTGTTTTATTGGTCCAACTTTTGAGAAGAATTTTGGCACAACAGTCAAAAGATTAGATAAACGTTGGCTTCTTTCCACATCAGCTTCATTTTCCACGTGGGTCCCAACTCAGAAAGCTTATATCGAAAGTCAGTAATACTCAATGGACGCGTGTGGGTAATTGTTGGACACGTGTGCACAGTTTCCATGGGTTTGTCCAGATTAAAAACGTGTCCCAGTTAGTGGAAAATAAAATGGAGAATTAAAAAGGAATAATCGGGTACACGTAAAGAGTAAGAAAAATATAAATGGGTTTGTTATCTTTCGGTGTAAAAGGTCAACTGATGTAGTTTAAAATTAATTAAGATGGGAATTAAAATAATGGATAATTAAGATTGTTAATGTGGGGCGGCTGCGTGGGCGGTTTAGACTCTTAATATAAATTGTTTCTTTAATTACAGTAACCCCAATTCTGATTATGACAGATTAATGTAATTGGATACTGGGGAGATAATTGAATATTTAATCACTGATTATTCATAACAATGGATAAGCTTTAAACATCTTTGCAAAGCTTTAAGCTCCTTCAAGTAGAACTTATAATGTAAATGTAGTACTTAGTTGGGCTTTTTTATTGAAAAATCCAGAAGGCCCATTCTTAAACATTTATGGGCTTTGATCTTGTCTTGAGAAGCCAAGCCCATTCGGAAAATATTATTTTGTCCTTATTTTTATGTGTAGTGTAGCGCATAAATAAAGTTATGTCAGTAAGTCACAAAATAAGTGTGATACACTAAACACAATTTTTTACTTGGGTTGGGGACACCCACATTGGATATTAGGAACTAAGTCGAGATATTTCTAGAAAACCTTCCTAAGATCTCTAGAATAATTCTCATATTTTCTTACCATTTCCCAAATTTTCTCTACTTTTCTTGGCAACCAAACACCCGCTGGAGAACATTATACAATTCATCCGAATTTCCTATCAAAAAATATTAATAAACAATATTTTGATTATTTAAATCTTTAGCAATTAAAAATAATAGATATTAGAGAGTAAGAATTATGGCCTAAGCTAAGAGAGAGACAAGCATAAACGCGTTGTTCTCTCCGTCTCGTATGGCTATGAACCATACTACAAGATACAACCCAAAGCTCTAAACCCCACTAAAACCCTAGAACACTCAATGTGGCCACAACAGTGGCCACCCTTCGTCACAAAAATTGGAAAAACAGATAAAGAAAGGGAAAAGAACCTTATCGAAGCAAAAAAAGTGCACGAACTCGCCAGAAAAAGTACCGTGACGATGATGAAACAGTAGCGAAGTGAACAAAGACGTCATAAAACTTTCGTGGATTGAATGAGTATTCTGATGAATTCGCCACCTTTTATAGTGGTTTGCATGGAAGACGAAAGGGCAGGGTTTAATCGTAGCCGTCGATCTACAGTGAATCTCGACCCTTAATTTGTCGAGCAATCTCAGCCTTTAGACGTGGTCACTTGTCATCCATCCACGAGGGGCGATGAATCGTCAGACTGTTACAACAATAACTATTGTCACACGTCGCCTCAACTTCGCGCATGGACAACTGTAGTCGCCCACGCGCGACAAAAGCTGACTAACAAAGGTTGTCGCATTTAATGCGACATGACTGCATGGAAATCACAAATTTGCCCTAACTTTTCATTTTCTAAGTTTTATCAAGTACCACAAGAAATGAGAATCCAAGTGTGAAGTACGTCGACTGGGCGTGAGGTCGACCCTTGAGCTCGATCGAACCTATATTCGATGACCTATTGGTAGTGCCGAGCTTGATATCAAATCGAGCAATAGTCTTCGATACACGAAACAAGCATCGAGCACTAGGCGGCAGATGTTGTGTGTGATTTTTCCATCAAGCTCAGTGAGTTACTAGGTATTAGATTGACCTAGAATCAGTCTGACTCTATCGGTTGTTCAACCCAGCATAAGCTCATCGACATATAGCTCGACCCAACACAAGCTAGTCGCGAACAACTGGAATGATCATTCAATCAATTCCCAGATAACTTCAGATCCCATATATTATAGGAATGACCAGATTAACAGCAATCTCTATGCAATCACAACGCCCAATCGTAAGAATATCAGAATTGCAGTTCAAATCAATTGTAATCCTTTTTATTTTTGCTATTTCCTTTGTACAAACCTTGTATATAAACCGCCTCAAATGATGAAAAGGGGGTTGGAAATTTTCCATAGAACTGATCTTATTGTAAGTTCTCACAACAAATACAAGAATAGTGGACTTAGGCATAAGAGGTTGCTTCGCCGAACCACTTTAAAATTTTTATTATCTTTTACTTTATTGCACTTATCATTCACCCATCGTGGATTATCTGTAATCATGTCCACATTCGTTCCGATTCCATCAAGGTCAATTGGATCTATCTGGTTGGTGTGAATTTTTGTATAAACACTAATAGGGTAGAGATGAAAGGAATCTATCCCTCGAAGCTAAAGGACCTTTCAAGGTAAGAAGAGTGGAGGATCTTGATTGGCTAACAAGCATAAAACTCAAAAAGTTTTTTGAGAAAGAATAAGGAGAAAAGAATAAACAGACATTTGGCACAAACAAGACTTCAAAATCAAGCACAATTTAACCATTAGATCAACGACACTATTATCCATAGAAACATGATCTAGTTTAGCAAAACCTGATCAGAAAAAAAAAAAAATTTGAGAGGTTGTAAATTCTGAATTCTTTCAAATATATGAAACTTTCACTCGTTTTGAATTCATATGATAAAAGTAAATTCTTGGAAAAATGTAAACATGACATATAACAAAACAAAACGAGATTAATTTTATGAAGAAATTCTGAAAGAGAAAACTCAATCAAATACCAAAATTTTCTTTTCATTTCTTACCTTTTTCTACTTCCAAACAACAAAACCGAACCAAAAAGGCAAAAACAGAGGAGTAAACCCTTTAGGCCAATACCAACTAAAAAAAAAAGTTAAAAAAAAAAAAACAACAAGAACAAAATTCAGGATTGAAAATTTGAAAGCAAAAAATTAAAATTCCAAAAGAAGTTAAAAGAATAGAGGAACTACCCGTTTTTAGCTAGCTAATAACTTACCATTAAAAGAAACATAAAAGTTAAAAAGTAACGGCGTTAATTTAAAGGTGGGAACCTCCAATCTATGAAACCATGGGTGGAAACTTGTAGATTTGCCAAACCTTGTGTGGGAAGATGTCGTTTACTCTTAACAATATTATGGCCTAAGCTAAGAGAGAGGCATGCATAAACGCGTTGTTCTAGAGCCAAAGAGTCCTCCCTTTCGTGTGGGTATATGAACGATACTACCAGAACAACCCAAAGCTCTCAACCACTTTTCTCAATGAGCACGACCACGGAAAGATAAATACTAAGTCTATGGTGTCCAAGTTGTAAAAATATATTAAGATTTCTTCTTTAGTAATGATTTATTCTTTAGTTAAAGCATACATAACGTATTGCTCATTTGGATGATTGAGAAAGACGTTAATATCCATTCGATTAGTGTAATGAAGTTTTTGAATCTGATCGCTAAATTCTACAATGACTCTTTGATTCTCCTCATCCACTTCATTTGTAACTTGCAATTCACCGACATCGGGGATCCTAATTTGGTAATGATTAAGACAATTGGCAACAGTATGTGGCTTCACATCAATTTGCTACATAATTTTGTAATTATTAAAACAATTGGCAATAATATGTGGCTTCACATTAATTTGCTGCATAATTTTGTAATGATTAAAACAATTGGCAATAGTTTGTGGTTTCATATCAATTTGACCATGCAGCAATTGCATTTGCAATTCCATCAAAGACACGATTTTTGCTGGTTTCAAAACACGATCTTCTATCCATTTTAAAAGTAGGTAATTGAAGCGCTGAATTGAAATCTTAATAGTATTAAAACATCAATTGAAATCCTAATACTATACTACTAAAACATGAATTATAAAAAAAATTTTGTTATCACACCTCTATTAAATTATAACCTCCTTATAGTAATAAAATTAATTAATCCCGCTATTATGATTATATAGAGATTTTACTGTAAAACACTTATGATAAAACAAAAAAGAGAGTCTTTGAAAAGAATGCTTAAGATTAACTTCTCCAGTGTCTTTAAAAATTTACCATATCTTCAATAAACATTATAAGTGTCACTATATATATTGAATTTTAACTTCCCCATTAAAAAAAGGTGTTTAAAGGTGCATACAATGCAATGACATAAGGTAGGGTTGGAGTTGACTTATGAGACATGTGTGACATGATGAAGAAGGCAGGAAAGTTTGTAAAATAAATAATATATTGGCGTTTTGTGCTTTTACTTTTTTTTTAACCAATATTGCATGAAAGCTTTTCAACTCATTAGGCTACAAGTTCCGCATCCTTTTGGCAAATGTTTTATAAAGTTGTGTGTAACTTACTTTCATCTTAAACTTTGTTTCCCATAAAGTGATGGAACTTAACCAGCTAATCTTCCAAGCTTTTGCTGCCTAATCCACTATTTTTTTTGATTAAGACTACTTAAAAACTAAATATTCATTCATAAAGCTTTAAGCACAGAAATTTCTTGGACAAGATGAATGGTTATGGTCAGCGCATCATGATGTAATTGGGTGGATTTTACATAGAAATTCAAAATACTCTTGCAGTGTGAAACCTAGATTTTCCAATAGAAAATCAAGTCAAGTCTCTTTTGCCATTGACTGCAAAAGAGGAATATCAACGTGCTTTTGGAAGATGCACGGTAATTTTACTCCCCTCGTCAACACGTTTCTTGAAACTATAGCCATATAATCATGCTACACCAATTGATTGATAGGTTAAATGATCTTATGATATCATATTAGATAGCATTGCCGAGTATTCAACAATACATAAGTAGCTACCAATATGTTTTACAGTGAAATTTGCCGACATATATGAGAGCTATCTCAGCGATCATGAAAAAACTTCTACCACATTTAGTTTCCATTGTTTATATTCTGAATTCAATTAGCTCCACTTTCCACTATATTTAAGTCACAAAATCTGAGTGCCTATACATTTTAATGAGTTTAACTTCCACTTGTCACTAAAATGAAGGCACAAAATCTAAGTGCCCCAACATTTTAATGAGTTTAATGCTTACTTTCTCATGGACATCAATGTGTACAAATCCCAATCAACCCAATCATAATTTTGTTTTTTATTCTACATAAATTTGATGTCGCATATCTTTCCAGCAAACATAATTATAAGAGTTAATAAATTGTCCTAAAGATTAATTAAAATGCACTTAAACTGGTCTGGATATTTCGGTTATCCAAAAAAAAATCTAAAACAAATAATATTTAATCAATTAAATCAAATTTTTTTCTTCGATTATATTGAGACTCGTGAACTATTACAGATTTTGTTTGGCTAACAATGCGGGATAAGATAAAATTAGGGTTGAGTTTGCACTTTGCACGAAATGAATATGAATAATGAATTCATTGAACATGGTGATGGAGGGTGTAATGATGATGTCCACTAGGGGCTTGACTTAAATTAGCGCAGCGGAGAAGAAATGTAGCCACGTTATCTTCCTTGTGTATCTTCCACGGATAGTGTGGCTCCATCTTTCTTCGCAAATGCTGTATATAAAATTTTGATGGCATCCCCACTTACCCAACCTCATTACCAACTTTACTGTTGTCTGGTTTCATCTATATCTATGGTTACATTCACACTCTTAGAAAGGCGTTAAGCCCCCACAATTTGGTTTCCTTTCACCTTTTTGACTTTGGTAAATCATTTAATTCTTCCTTTTCCAACATCATAAACTTCCAGAAATCTCTCATGTAAATGTATAAATGAGACTTCTTGCTTTATGGACACAGCAGCATTCGAGAAAGTAGTAACTTAGTGCACAAGAAAGAATCTTGTTTCGGAAATGGCTGCAGGCTCTCTCATTCGTCTACTGCTTGTAACTTCATTGGTGTTTTCTCTTCTAATTGTATGCTTGAATGCAGTCCCAGTTTCAAGTATTACTTTTTCACCACTCCAATACTTTATCTTCCTGTTTTTTCATCCCTAACTTTTGGTATTTGCAGGAACTGGAAACTTAATGCATGGATCTCAAGCTGATGATCAACTTCCAGAGAAAACCCGCCTGGTACTTCTTATCTCATCGTTATCTGCCGTCAAAGTTGTAGTGTTTTAAGTTTGATCGGTGTGTTTATGCATTTCTTTTTGTTGATAATAAGGTAACTGGTGAGAAAAGTTGGGAGGGAAAAACTATTACTGGAAGGAGGGGCGTGGAGCTGAATGATTATACAGGATCAGGGGCCAACAACCGCCACACTCCAGGGCACAAATTGGGAGAGGCTGTGTTGATTGTTAGGAATGAGATCCTCTAGTTAGTAACTTAAGTAGTAGATAAAAAATTAAGCATGATTTTAGGTGTTTAGGAAGTTCTATTCACTTTCTTCTTCAAATGGTCGAGGATCGAGTACTTGATAAACAAGGTGAAATTAAGATGGAAAGTGTATGAGAAACTACTAGGAGTAAGAAGAGAAGTAATTGGAGTGGCTTCCAGTGCAATATTGTAAGCATTATTATGTTGTCTTGATCTTTATGTATGAGTATAAATACCAGTTCCTATTAGTATGTTTGATGCCAAAGCATGAGCGCATGTTCTCTTCCTCCAACTATGCTTCCTACCCATCATACATCCTTACCGGATTTTAATGAATGAAACATGAGTTGGTAATTGGCAGCTAGCACTAGTTCTGAATCGGATTTTTTTCCTGGAAGTGGATGCTGCAGCCCCAAGTTCCATAATTCTGAAACTTTGGCTGCAATTACAAGTTTGTTACTACTCGGGGTGCTTTCCTTGGTAATTTTGGAGCGAAATTTGAACTAAGTGTTCTGTAATTGTTGTATTTCAGCAAGTCTTTTCTCTTTTAATATATTGTATGTTCATTATGTGATGTTAATCTATCATCTATATGAAGCACTTGAAGCTTCTGTGCTGTTCCTTTTCCCCCCCTTTTTTTTTTAATGTGAATGATAAGGGAAAATATGTTAAAAAAAAAAAAAAAACAAAGAAAAGAGACACCAGTGGCTTACGTGACGAAGAATGAATTGGGTTTGGACCAACCATAAACATAATCCATGCATCCTATACCGTCAAATTTGCTTGCCTTTGAAATGAGCTTTACCCTAATTGTGGTAAAAAGCAAATTGCAACAAGACCTTAAAAATACTTTTCCAAAGTTCCCAGAAAGAGAAAAGTCCAATACAGTTAATCTGCATTGTTTAAATACACATGTGGTTAGACATGTTGGAGTTGGGCCTAACTCCTCACCCAAAAGGCCTTATTGAGTGGGAGGATGCCCATCTTAGTAAACCCATTGGCTTGAGTGTGCCTAGTCGATATGGGATCTCCAACACTCCCCCTCACGGTCAAGCCCATATGGTCCACTTGCCTATGAATGGAGGTAGTTTGGCAGCCCACCGCTGGTCAATCACTCAGCTCACATGGGGCTGGCTCTGATACCACTGTTGGAGTTGGGCCTAACTCCTCACCCAAAAGGCCTTATTGAGTGGGAGGATTGCCCCCTCTTATAAACCCATTGGCTTGAGTGTGCCTAGTCGATATGGGATCTCCAACAAGACAAACCACTAATATCTCACACCATTTTACATTCAGCTTAGTGGAGAGAAAGTGGATTATGAGGTGTTGTGCATTCACTTTCAATTGCAAACAGTTTTCTGAATGCTTCTCTCCCTTAACAATTGTAAGGTAGTCAAATTCGAATATCATACAGTTGGAGTTGGAGTCCCATCTGGTTGTGTGGTGTCAGTGGCTTTCTCCCCTGAAGAATCCTGGAGTTTAACATAGTTTGTTTTCCATTAGTAATTGAGGTTAATTGGCATGATATGATCAGCAAAGAACAAGTCCGAAAAAAGATGCATTATAAAATTTCTGAACTCTTTTTCAATCTTTTTCTGTACTTTGTAAAGATATAGACATATTATTGACACTTCCAATGCTATAATTCAATTTGGAAACACCACAGAAGTTATGACACAATCAAGGCTATGCTTAAATTAACAGAGTTTCTAGAAAATTAGATAATTAATCAACTGTGCATCTTTATATAACCTATGATCAGAAATATTAACAAAATATGGAATCAATAGGAGTGAGAGAGAAAATTTAACATTTTCTGATAAGCTAATTGTTGTGTGTGATTTTTCCATCGAACTCGGTGAGTTGCGAGGTATTAGATCGACCTAGAATCAGTCTGACTCTATCGGTTGTCTGACCCAGCATAAGTTCATCGACATATAGCTCGAACCAGCACAAGCTAGTCGCAAACAACGCGAATAATCATTCAATCAATTCTCAGATAACTTAAGATCCCAGATATTATGGGAATGACCAGATTAAGAGCAATCTCGGCGCAATCACAACGCCCAATCGCGAGAATATCGTGTTAGTCGCTGATGGGGTTTACGCAACGGAAAACAAAAATAAAATCCCCAACAACAACATTGAACCCAAGAACCTTATACTCGATTTACATTATTTACATATGAAATGATATTGAATATAAAATTTCCAGATTTCATACCAGCGTTTGGAGGCTCCTTCAATTGATACGAATCGCTCCCACTCTAAGATAAGAGTAAACTCTCCGTATCCACACGAAGATAGGATGACGATCGACTTGCGGTCTCAAGTGCTAGCAAGACACACAAGCAAAAAGGATGCATAATTTTTCTTCAAGAAAAATTCTCTTCTCCACCAAGTGAAAAACGTGTGAGAGAGTGAGGTGAGTGGCTTGGATTTAATTATGTGTTCTACCAAATTATTTTAATTTTAAGTTGCCTTTATATGCAACAAAAATTAAAACCCTAATCTACTTAGGAATAAATTTATTCCAAGACTAGAATAGTAAATCCTCATTACCAAACAAGATAATAATCCACATGTCATCTTATTCAAATTCAAATATGATTTTCATATTCATATATTATTTTTATTAATATAATCATTTATTGATATTGAATATATATTTAAATTCAAATATGAATTTCATATTTCATATATATTATCTTCACTAATATTAATATCATCAAATATTAATATTAAATAATATTTAAATATATGAATATATTTAAATACATAATCTCACTAATTTTAATTTCAATATGAAATTAAATATAAGCAAAGACCTCAGCAAATTTAATTATACTATGAGATTACCAAAATGCCATTTCATCTCAAAAGACGAAAATATCCTTTCCATCATAAATGGTGAAAATACCATTTCATCACAAATGAAAATACTCTTTCTCACCAATTCATCCTTAATATGTCTTCTATGTGTGTGACCCGAAGGCTCCTCATCATATCGGCAGTGAGCAGTCTCGCGATTGACACCAATCAATCGTCTTACTAAACACAAATCAAGATTGGCCTCTAGCAAGATATCATGGCCACCTGATAGATTTGGATTCAGCGAAACAGGTTGCCTATCAATGATATGGTTACCGTGCAAATCGATCATTTCATTATCTGTTATCTCATCGAGGCTGAGGTACCATAATAGTGTCAACCTCAGTTATCTTCGGTATCTTTGTACTCGATTACTGGACCAATGACCGGAATAATAAATTGGCTTGAGCAACAACTCAATATCACTGTGGCCGTAGCTTTAATGTCATTTCCACTCATTGAATTACGCCGTGAGATAACTTCTCCTGTACCCAGGAGTGATGAATCATTTGTCCATCCACTATAGTCTTGATACACTCCTCGATGTAGCCAATCACTACCATATTGATAGCTTTGAATATAACTACGTTGGGCTAGTGTCAAACTACACCAATCGGTGCATAAGGCGCTCTGGTGATCTCAAGTCTAAGGATCACATGCATCACCATTCGTTAGAGGATTAACTCCATAGACATTAGGGTTACCATCCATATGAAATCCTCTGGTGGGTCTGTCCAGTGAACTTGCCTACAGCAAGCATCCATGTGTCGCACCAGGTTGTCGGCAAATAACCTTGACAAGTGAGATCAGTCACTGTCTTTCGATAGAGTCGTTTAACGCTATGATAGTCTTACCGTACTATCTGTGTCCTTAGTCAGAATAATACTGGGGCTACAGACATTTCTAGAATGGCCACCATATGTGATCATAGGGTTCTCACTATCAAGATTTGAAATACTTGATATCCTCATCACGGTTCTACCATCCTAAGGACATATATCAATACACACAATTATGATTTACATGATATAAAAGAAAATTGTCTTTTATTTATTAATAAACATTATTTCAAAGAGTCAATTCTACAATAATTGATTGGCTCTAGGGCACCTACTCTAACATATCGGAGTTGGAGTTCAAATCAATTGTAATCCCTTTATTTTTGCTCTTTCCTTTGTACAAACCTTGTATACAAACCCCCTCAAATGATGAAAAAAGGGGTTAGAAATTTTCCATAGAACTCTTATTGTAAGCTCTCACAGCAAATACAAGAACAGTGGACGTAGGCATAAGAGGTTACCTCATCGACCCACTTCAAAAATCTTATTATCTTTTACTTTATTGCACTTATCATTCACCCATCACTGATTATCCATAATCACACCCACATCCGTTTCGATTCCACCAAGGTCAATCAGATCTCTCTGGTTGGTGTGAATTTTCATATCAATATTTTGGCGCTAGAAGGAGGGGCTCCACCAACATCTCAGAAATTCTGACGAATAGCCACAACAACCTACTCAATCTAAGCTCGCGATGGTGCATACCAGATCGAAGACCACCACCAGAAACCACGAAAAAGTGGAAACCATCCATCAGGAGATGCAACAGGATGCCGCTGGGCATTGACCACATGTGTCGCTAACTCTGCACGTCACGAATAACCAGGGGACAAGGACGTCACACCCCAAAAATGGCCAGCTGATGGAGATGATCATAATAATGGTTGCACAGACGGTGCAACAAAATGTGGTTGAGCTGAGAAACCAGCAACCAACTGCCTAAAACCTCGACTAGCCACGCTTCACCAATGCCTCCCCAACAGGTATGAATTTAGCAAGTGGCCAGTCCGACTTGCGGGTGCTGAGAGGCGACCTATAGTCTCATCGTCATAAACTCCACTTCGCTCACGAGTGTGAATCCCACGGGCAAACTAAACCTAGGAGGTGGCCAAGGAAGCAACCACTGGGTGAGAGTGAAGACAACGGTCACCCCTAAGACGCTCAGCGGTACCCCCAACAACAGTGTGCTGGTCTTAACCCACACTCAAGACAGGCTCAATCCTCGCAAGCTCGTGAGACAAGTCATGTGCGTAAATTCGACAATGACTGACGTTCCAGTTATAACCGA